CTTCCCAAAGTTGAGATTCTAATCGTGAAGAATTGTTCCATGGAAATGGTACAAGTTCACAAAATTAATTCACAATTGTTTTGAAGCAAATCAAACAGGTTTCCATTGTAACTTGCAGATAGATTGTTAGAGTTTGGAATCCAATACATTACAAGCAACAATACACAAACTCAAAAATCTCCAAAACAATTTTGTTTGTGCGTTCCAAACGTGCCAAAAATAATTCAAAAATATTTGCTCCTCTGCTAGAAAGGCGATACAAAAAAACAGCACAACACCTCCTACTAACATGAGTCTATTCTTTGATGCTTCCTTCTTCGATGAGCCATGCAAGTTTGGCCAATTGTTCCATACTATTGATTCAATCTCCTACAAGGAATGGAAAGAAACAGTTCAGAGCAACTGGACCAATGTGAATGACTTTCACAAATACCGTGCAGATACAATACAGTTCCTGAGTGATTACTGCTATCAGCTGGGGCAATTAGACCCTAAGAGTTGTACCAAGTATAATCTTCCATTGGCCAAAGCCATGCTCCAATCACCAAATTATGTTCAAGTTGCCTTTGCAATGTATTATATTTTGCAAGTTTTTAAATCCATGTAATCCATCCATTAATCCTCCTCTTGTACATACAAATAATACCAACAATAATCCGATCATTAAATTATTAATATTTCATGATGATATGAGAATGTTGTTTCTTGTTGGATGATCAAAGGTGAACATGTTTTTAGACTTTTGTAAAATTAACAAATTTAAAAAATGGCGCGAAAATCCAAAGGCTTACCTTCATCATTGAAATAGTTGTTTTCACCATCATCAAAATATTTAATTATCAACATCACCAGTGATTGTTGTATAGAATAATAGCTTGTAGAGTCTCACAATCAGAGAGGTTTTTAGAGGTTGAGAACTCAGGATAACATATTGTATTCAACAACATGCAAGGGTTGGGAATTCACAAGGTTAACCTTCATCTTGGTCTCCGATACGTTTTGAACATGTCTCTGCTATTCAGGGCATCCAATCACGTTTCTTCAATATCACTCTCAACCGTCCTAAAAGCAAAACATTTTGTCGATCAAAGTTTTGAAATTTCTGATGGAAGTCACAACTCAAAAAACAACCTAAAAAAATGGCTCAAAGAACCACCATAACAAAATCAAACATTGAGAATAGTAAGACTACTTTAAAGGCTAAGGATCATTCAAGTCAAAGGGAGGCTACTGATCAATATCATCATCGAATCAAGCCTGTTCTATCTATGGCTGAAACCTTAAAGGAGAAGGTAGCAAAATCAACAAAGCCAAACATCAACAAGACAATGATAACCCCTGAAGTTATATTGATTAATGGAATCAAAGTCAAGATAAATTGCAAGAATAGTGTAAAATTGGCTAAAAACTTTGGAGATTATGAGAAGAAAAGGCTAGAAGGTCTTGAATGGCAGAAATTTGCAAGAATACTAAAGAATGTCAATGGAGATATCAAGTTTGATTTAAAGATTGTAGAATTCACTCCTGAAAATCAAGTCAAGGGAGATGTAGGCTATACTTGTAAACACAGAAGATCTCATTGCATACATCATGAAGAATTGAAGAAGGCTTTTATAACTTGGCCATTTGCTCTAGCAATTATCAAACAAGTACGAAAA